CCATGAATGTCACCACAGGTATTACTGTGACCAAAATAGAGAAATCACCAGACCCAGGTTTTTTTTTTTTGCACTGAACAAAATGTACAGCAAAATGATAAATATAAAATGAGAAGGTATGCCACTTTTCTAAACAGAGTATGCTAGGAACAAAATCCCCATGTGCCACTACTTTAAGTAGCACCCCAAAAACCTACTTCCACTCCAGCTAGCCTGGAAGTGCCCTGAAGTTCAGAAAATGGATAAGGATGAGAGGGAGATTTTGCTTCTGCCCACTACAGGCCACATTTTAAGCCAACGGAGCAATTATTAAGCTCCCCTTGTCTATTGGGTATGGCCCTTATCCATCTGTATTGATTTAGGACTGCAGGGGCGGGACTCAACAATCCATAGTGTCCCTTCCAGCTCTGCAGTTGGACTCAACAATCCATAGTGTCCCTTCAGTTCTAAGAATAAACATTTACAGATGTTTGGCTATTTTGAGAAAAGGTTACTTACCTTGACTACATACGAGATTCCATACATTTTGTGGATATTTTGGTACTCCTTCCTGGTAGGGCTGGCATGGAAGGTATAACGTTCAACTGTTTAATTTTTAATGACTCCCTGGAGCACTGAGGAGTCAGAATGACTCAAGGTTAGGGAAGAGTACTGGGTGGAAGGCATCCACCAGCGATCATCAAAACCTCTTGGAAGGCACTGACACCATGAAAAACAGTGTGGCTAAGTGGTTTGAGTGTGCCGATCTGTCCTGGCCATAATCTTGACATAACCCTTCTTAGGCAAGTTGGCCATTCCACTGCAGCCAGCCTGGAAGCTTTATTGCTTGAACAGAAAGCTCTTTGCCAGCTTGGAAAAGGACAGCAAAGGGGGTGAGGAACAGCCTGGCTTCCCCTGGGAGAGAGTTCCATAGTCTGGGAGCAGCAACAGGGAAGGCCCTCTCCCATGTACACACCCACACACACTGAGGGTAACAGGACTGAAAGGCCTCCCATGAGGATTTTAAAAGATGGGCATGCTCCTAAAGGGATATCTCGGACCCAAGTAATATAGGTCAAAGCTTGCATGCTGAACTGCACCCAGAAATGGACTGACAACCAGTGAATCTGTTGCAACAGGGGAATTATGTGATCGTTGTAACCAGCTCATTAAAATCTAGAATCTTCAACTCTTCCCTACAGAGGAGTCCTAATTACCAAAAACAGTTATGAGCTGGGTAAGCAGAAATACTTTCTTGGATGCATAGAAGGAAATTAGATACAAAACCAGAAAGTGGCCAAACATTTAGTCACACTTAAGAGTTTACAGAAAAGGTAATGACAAAAGATGAGAACTTATTAATATAAGACTTTTCCTTGTTTTTCTATTTGTTTCATCTTTCTCCTTCTTTTATTTGACTGATAAGACAGACATTACTTCATTGTAATTGTTCAAAGTATTAAAATTAATAATCTATAAAACCATATAAACTAAACCTTCAAGGATAGTTATTGACGTCAGGCCTGAAAGACCTTGACACTGATTTTGATAAAATTTAGTCTTTCACCCAAATTAAGTTTAGTACAAAGACATGCTCAGATGTTGTATTATGAGGTACAGGTATTTGAGGAAAGATCATGCTAGCAACACACATGGAAGAATGTTATAATATGTTAATTTTGTATCTCTCTCCAGGGAAATGAGAAAGATACAAAATTAACAATGTTACAAAAATTTATTAGTTCCAAAGAAATGAGAGATACAAAAATATATGGTCAAGGAAGCAGATTATACCAGTTTTTTTAAAAATATGTATTTGTTGCACCTGGCAATTAGGAACGTCAAATTTAAACCAAATATTTTTTTGTCTCATGAAGTGACCCAGCAGTCCTCAAACATGTCTGTTGGGTGCACCTGGACCCCTCTTTGCTGCACCTGATAAGATGAACTGAATGCCACATTAAGACACACAAAGTTTTAAAAAGACTTTATTCCAATCAAGTATTTTAAAAAGTATTACGTTGCCCTAACACACACCATTAAAAATACAAACACAAGGTTTTGCCTCCACCCCCCTCTTCAGGATACCGGCCTGATCGTGGAGTCAAGAACTACCCTGAGGCCTCAAACTCCCACTCCTGGAGCTGAGAGCACCCTTCTACCACCCTTTCCAATATAGCACCATTAAAAAGACCCCCACCCCACCTACCCCTCTCTCAATTCAAACTATTATACATCCAGGGCTGTGTGCATTCCACCATCATTCTGCAGCAGAAGTACAGAATGTGAGACTGGTATAGGTCATGCTAAACTTGTTCTTAGGGGGGGATTCTAACCCTCGAGGCTGTGATGACAGGTGTTAAAGATTTCTGGACCAGACTGACGTCTCAAAAGTTAGAAAAACAAGGTGGATGGGAAGATGATCAGAATGTCCTGTTGCCAAAATTTCCGTACTCTCCATTTATGTATTTATTTGTTTATTTCATTTATACACCACCCAGCTAGCCAAGGGCCACTCTGAGCAGTTTAAAATATGAGGCAAAACAAAACAAACAATAAAAACATATTTACTAATAGCCTACCACAACAAGTGAAGGAAAAAGGAATTTATTTTGATAATTTATGCAGGTTACAACTTCAATTTATAGTGAGCTAAAATTCTTTTTAAATATGAACTACACACAACCCTGGAGATAGGCACCTCACCTGTGGCGTCACTCTTTCTACTCTCCTTTCTGTTGCAAGGAAATAATCCAGGCTTGCCCAGTTTGTCTGTTTATCTTTCCTATGGTGGACTGACAAGCACTGGAAGGGCTTTGTATTTTATTAAAGCACTAAGAATACTATGGTGGATGAAAGGCAGAGATCAGACACACATCCTCACGCTAGGTGCCACATATTATGGGCTGGTTCACTCACTGCTTTTTAACTCCTGTAGAGTTGAATCAATAAAATTGCCCAAAAGACAAATAGTCAAGACTGACACACAGTCTTTAAAAATGCAAATATAATGGCAGAAGGTGATCCTCTGGGACCCTCCACTCTGCCACTCCCTGAGGAACCCAGCCATCCAGAAACCTTCCCATGGGTCCAATTGGTTTACCCTCCCTCCCTTCCCACCCTCCACCCCTATGTAAGAGTCAAAGTATCTCAATTTCCTGAGCACAACTTTTCTGGGATTTTCTTCTCTTTTTAAATGACAACAGACTGGCTCCAGGCCAAAAGCATGATAAAAGCCTCTTACAGTGGATGGAAGTACAATGCAATGGACAATGGTGTATCTGGGAAGAGAACAGAGACTGGAGCATGGAGAGGCAGAAGGAAGCAGGCTGACTTCCAGGGATCAGACTGAAGCTGAGATGATAGCCAAACAATAGTGACCCTGAGGAGCTTCTGATTAGAGGATGGGAGAGAAAGAAACCATTTAAGATGAGATGCAAGAACAGAAGATAACTGGGCTCACCCCCTCCCCATTCATGAGAACATGCATGTTGTTAATATGAGAGCCATGGGAGGAAGGAGAAGGAAGGGCTGTACTAAACAGACACAGGACTGAAAGCACATCCAAGACAAAGGCTGGAGGGATGTCTTGATGCCTTCCTTCTCAAGCGAGGTAGCTTAAAATATATACCCACCTTACAAGATGGGGAAAGCAAGGAGGCACAGAAAAGTGAAAATTGAGCGCCAGCCCACCCTTCAACAGAGACCATTCAGCATCCTGGCTAGCAACATCCACCCTCACCGTCCCCAACCCTTCCCTATATAAAGCCCTTAATCACCTCACCCACGTCCTCTCCCCACCCCACACCCCATCACAACAGTTACTACCTAAAGGGTTGTGCACTAGTCTGGTACTACCAACAAACATGAGACGACCACAAAAATTGACAGAGCAGCAGGCAGGAAAGCAAATATGGGCACTCCTTGCAGCAGGATGTTGGAGCTGATTAGGAAACAAGCTGTTTTAGTACCCAGGTGGATTTGATTTAAATCAAATTGATTTAAATCACAATTTAAATTTTTAAAAATTGATGTTTTTTGACAAATTTTAAAACACTATTTTTATTTAAATTGTGATTTAAATCATAAAAACATAACTTATTTTTATCCACCCTGCTTAGTACAAAGAAACTATAAAGCATTTTGTGCTGTGTTGAAACACTGATATACAGGTGAAAGTGCATGGCTCATCCCTCAATGCTATCTTCACCACAGATGTTGAGCATTTCCTCCACTGTAACAAAAACAACTCCATATCATAAATTTGTGTCGAAGTCTACCAGAATAGCACCATGTATCGAAACAGAATGGTTGCTGTATAATCTGTATCATCAGCACCAGAGGAGCTGTGTGTAATTAAACAAGGAAATTTAACTGTCAAGTAGTGACTGGGGTCATCTGTCCAAAAATAAATAGATTTGTATAGAAAGGTTTTAGGAGGAAAAAAGAAGGAAAAACATTGCCTGAAGCATACATACATGTAAGGGTCAGGCTACTTTCGGGAGAAGCAAAGACATGCTGTTTCAGCTGTATATCAACTCCTTTAGGAAGAAACATTTTCACTCTCGTCTGTGGGAGAGGCCTAAGAATATGAAGATCTAAGGAAACTGCTGAAATTGGTGGCTGGCATTTATTATCTCATACACCAAGACTTGTACTAGACAGACATATAGAGATGCTTTTCACATGGTTCGTTCAGCCACATTTTCTTCATGCCTTCACATGGATCATACAACTGCCACCATCTGGGAATTTTTTCCATAATATAGATCTGGGCTTCTCCTAGCATTGGCTGAAATAGTCAACATGGCCTATCAAGGCTTGTGTTTTAATGAAAATTATAAGGTGAGATCACCTTTTTCAGAGGCCCTGCTGCAACTAGTGGCCATAGGCAGAAATTGCAGTAGAGAACTACAGGAAATCCAGCTTGCTCAAGATGAGTTGCATACAGGACTACCTTTAGGAAAAAAAACAACCCAGACAAACCTTTAGGAAAAAAACAAAGAATTCTTTCTTTGTATTGCTGGGAATGAAACAAGCAGAGTGCCAGCTGCTGCTGGGTTCAGAAGTCACAGTAAACAGACTACGATTTGCCAACCTATTGTTTGTTAAGTTGCTGCCAATGAAGTTGGCAGCATTGAAGCAGTAGTAGTACCCTGGCTGCTCATCCTCAATAAGCCAAGGGTTCCTTTGCCTTGCTAGCTTGTTGTGATACCCAACTGTGGCCACTGCAATGGGAAGAGGACCCTCTTCAGAACTAAGCTACATCCCCAGAATAGTGTTCAAAAGATTCTCCCTAAACTATAAACATAATTTCATTCTAGAGATGGAGTGAATAGTTACAGCTCCTCCTAGCTGCAAGTTGTGCCCTTGTTATACCTTTCACAAACTAATGTCTAAAAACCACTTTGAAAAATACACACAGCATTTCCCAGGAATCAGCACCAACACGTGCAGAACTGTGAAAAGCAGAAGGCTTGAACTATAATACATATCCATATCAGAGCTAAAATGCATGCCAAGCAAATTCTATAGGTTCTCCAAGACAGAGCTTTCAATTCATAGGTCACAGACCTTTTTGGTTACATCCTATTTATGGTTACTCAGAAGGAAGCTTGTGTTCAACAAGATTTACCCATAAGGGTACACTGGATTACAGCCTTAGAATACTCCTTCGATTCCCATATGCACACCTGTCTTTTAAATCTTATATGGAGAAGCCTTCAAGACTAAAATACACCAAGCAAGAGATCAACAAGAAATGAAGAAAAGGAAAGAAAGGAGAATTAGGCCCTCCTACAACTATCAACTAGCATTTCCCAAAGTCAGCACCACAGAACTCTCCACAAAACCCCTGCCTGCAAAACAAAGCAAGCACTCAGAGAAAAAAAGGCTGGATGCAGTGGTCCAATTTATCCAGTTGCTGCTGGCTAATTTGTAATTTCATTTCTCAGCACTGGAGTGAGACCCCACCTGTTAGAAGTCCCAAGAACTGTCAGGACCAGACCAGTAGACACATACACAGAAGAGCCATTTAATGCAAGTGCTTTTGAACTTGATGCAGCCACCCCTAGACAAGAACAACCATTTATCCTGCTCAAGCCAGCATCTTACAAAAGGAAGGCCCCTTACCACAATGCCCCTGAGCCAAGCAGTCCCTTGAGCAGAGCTGGGAAAGTACAACTATTTCATTCTCTACCACTCAATGACAGTGTGAAGTATTTGCATAAATCTAACTGACGGTTATTCTGAAAATACTATCAAACCTAAGTTGTATCAAATATAAAAACCTGAATAGCTTAAGTTCCTTGAGAATCTAAAAAGTCCCAGTACACATTTGTTTAAAAGCCCTAGTAGTGAGAAGATACGATAGACCTGACTAATACAAAAGTGGCTTTGAAAATTAGAAAAGTAGATGTTTTTTTTAACAGTAGGCACCCAAAAAGGAGTGGGGGGAGAGGAAAGGGGGTTATTTCCCTAATTAAGCCTGTTTAGAAAGCAGCAGCCACTATCAGGCTAAATGGGTTGAACAGCTTAGGTTGCATGCAAATGTGCACTTCTGGTTGCTGGTTTTGTTACAATAGGTAAAAAAGGCTTCCCTGATTGGATGTAGGTTTCCTTTACCCACAAGTCACTTCACCTACGCCGGCTTGTACAGGAGCAACAAACAGCAAAAGCACCATGAGGTTCTGTAGAAGATTCCATGGTTGAGCAGCTACAAACCAGAGTGATGGGACACTTAAAGAGTCAAAAGATAAAAGAACTTTGGGGCAGGGGAGAGAAGAGCAAGCACAGTTCAAAGAGAAGATGACAGGGAAAGGCAATCCCAAGCATCCGTGCAGCCTACTATATGGCTTCTGTTTCAAGGTTATGTAGTAAGGTTTGGCCAAACTGTGAAGTGTGCTTTTAAAATGGAAGGGACAAGTATTGGATTGGTTGGCAAAGCACCTTGGAAAGAGACTGATCTGCATTAGAAAAAAAATGGGGGTGAACACAAGATAGTGCTTGTAGCAGAGACACAGCCTCTTGCCCTTTGCATACACCATATCAGAACAGAGCAGATGGTTTCTCACCCCGTAAGAGGTGACTGGAAAAATGAGGGAGTCAGATGCTTCCAGGTCAATTCTGGTAGGTGGGTTTTGCCCTGGCTTATCAAGTTCAGTAAGAAACTCAGTAAGAAGTTTCAGTCTCTCTTCAGCACACAGAGAGTAGTTAGATCAGGACAGCTCTTCACAGGAGCCGGAAGCTACCTCAAGGTTGATGGAACCATGACTCACAACTAGTCGCAGCCGCTTGGGTGGCACAAAAGGGGGGAAAGAAACCATTGGCTTGGAGGGAGGCTGCTGTTCCTCTGCCTGCTCCTTCTCCACCTCCTCTGGAGGGGGCTGCTGCCAGCGCTGCCTGCCTCCAAAGAGTGGGCCCTCAAGACAGACATGAGCATACTGGGAAAGCTTGGGGTCTACTGCTGGTACGAATAGCTGGGATTTAGGCAAAAGCTGGGCTTGGCGCTTGGCCATGCTCCTTGTTCTGCATAGCAACTGGCTGTAGGAAAGAGGTCCTGAAGAGCCAAGGGGAGCCTGCTCTCCTGATTCATAGGGTCCTGTGACCTCCTCATCTCCTTCATGACGTTCCTTGGGACCCTGGCTAAACGCTCCATTGCGACTATATGGTTCTCTCTGCCCAGTCCCAGATACTGCTTTTCTGTTCATCCTGACAAGTTCAAAGGAACCCTCTTGCCAAGATTCACAACCAAGTTGCACTGGTTAGTCCAGCTCGAGCTTGGAGACTTGTGCTTTTCAGTGACAGAGCAGCCCTGTGGGGCCCTAGAGTACCTAGCCTTGCTGCGTAAAGAGCGTCGTAAATGTGATGCTGGGAGCATGGAAGGAGGACATTGAAGCAGACGCACTAGCAGCTGCTTATGGATCTTGCACTGACGTGCTCCACAGGCCAGGCAGTCATGCAGTGGGATGTACAAAGGCTTCAGCATTCTAAAGTAATAACGAAGGGTAGATCTGCGTAGAGCACCTGAAGAAAGAAAAAAAAAAAACATCAGTTCCCAGAAGATCGCTTCTCCTTGCACCCCATTTCAATATCAAATCGTATCCCATTTAACCCAGTGGTCACTTTGCAGAAAACATTCCTCCCCTCTTTCACACTGCGTTGTGCTACATTGCCAAATCTCAAAAGAGTGATGCAAACCTGCAAGAGCTAAACTGCTCAATCCTTTGACACAAGAGAGAAGAGCCCACAGAGTTCTTTCATACTGAAGAACAACAGAACAGGGTTTTTCAGTTGTCTTCTATGAACCTTCTAGATGTATCCAGCCATAATAGCTATATGGTATTTCTCTGAACTTGGGGTAAACTGCTAGCCTACATTTCCAACCAAAAGGGAAGATCGAAAAAATCCTACAGCCCACTGTTGGGCTGCAGAGCATGCACTGACTTTGACAGAAAGTGAAATTGAAACACAGGGAGCAGGAGGACACAAGAGAACATGGCCATACTGAGCAGATACCCAAGCCACAACGCACTATACAGCACTGCAAGCCACAATATCTCATTTAAGCAAGTCACTCTGGCACATCTCACCACGTAATCGTGCTCTCCTGCGTCGGGCCTTCTGTCCCACTTTCACACTGCGTTGGGCCAATTTGCACGACTGGCTTTTCCACCTCTGCAGACGGCCATCTGTCTCTCTCAGTAGATATTTCTCATTGACTGAGGTAGATTGTGATGGTGTCTGATTCCGGAGGCGAAAGAATCCTTCCCCCTTCCTGGAAGACAACAATTAAAAAATCACAAGGATAACGTACATAATTCAGCTGCATTAACAAAAAACAAAACAAAAAACTACACACACCAAAACTGTCTTTTTGCCATAGAAGGATTCGAATCAGCTGGTTAAGATAAACATAATTATCCTTTTTTTAAAAAAGGTAGGTGGGGGAGATTATCAACTGATCAACTGCAGGGAGGAGAATCCATAATGTTTTCTCTGCGGCCCTTAGAAATTACTGCTGCTTTTTAACAGATTGTATAACAGCAACAGGTAGAAACGTACCACCACCCCCACCAGACTGTGCCACCAAGTAACCAGGTGCAGAAGCAGCTCCATCCCTTAATGCTAGTTATTCCCTGGCCAGCCTGCACTTTGCTAGCTGTTATGACTTATAAAAGAAGGGGAGAAATTATTATATAGAATGTCTCCCCCACACACCTGTTCTTTCTCTCAAAAATCCACAGGCGCCATTCCCACCCTGGCTCCCAGTCCAAGCCCCTCTCCTCTCAGTTCTCACCTTTCACAAGTGTAGCACTCGCACAATTCATTGTTCTCCCCAAAGAAGCCGTCACCATAGAAGCATGTGATCTCATCTTCCGGCTCTATGTCCCGTAGCACCTTAACACAGGCAATATTTCCATCCATTGGGACAAACTGTGGCACAAAGACAAACAATGATGGGGGTGGGGAGGACCAGCAGGCATCTAGGAATGCTGATATTCAGGTGGTGACTTCTTTTCAGAAAAAGAAAACAGCAGAGATCCTCCTCTTCTCTCCCTTTCTCAAATTGTAGGTAACCCAACTCTCAGTCAAGACACCTTGCTTTCACAAGACCTCATCTGGTCACATGTAAAGTCATGACACATGATTTCCAGCCCCCCAAACAGTACTGATTGCACTAAAAGAGACTGAGAAAGCTGGTTTCTTCTGTATCTTTGATATGAAATTTTTTATTATGTTTCTAGCCTCCTTCAACAGTAGAATAATAGGAATGAAACTGAATGGAGTCAGAAGAAGAAAGTTTTCTGGTCACACAGCTTCTTGTCCCTTCCCAATGTTTTCAGGGCACTGTTATTTTCTATGACCCCACAATAGTTAATCTTTGAAAATATTTTCCATTTGAAATTTAAGCCTTACCCTAAATGCAGCTCCTCTTATAGATGAGAAGCACTACCTTCCCCAGCATTCACTAACTGACTTACCTTGCAGTTTGGCCTGCAGTCTGCGATGTTCCACAGTGAGGTATGAGTTGCACAGAGAGAAGGGAGCAGAAGGAAGAGATTAAAAAATGACAGATATGCATTAAAGACAAATTACTTATTCTCTCCCACAGTTTCTCTAGAGTAGAGAAAATTGGCTACTGTCTTTTCAGTAATCAATACTCCTTTCTCTTAAATCATTTCCAAATTTGGATTGTACTGATCGCTGAACTAAAGTCTCCTTAGCTTCAATAATCTGACTGCATTACTGTATGTAGTTCCAGACTATGCTTGGTCAACGTAAGGACTAATAACAGCAGACCAAAAGCTTTCCCTTTTTGAAGGTACATTTCCATAATGTATAGTTCTGAAAATGAAGCTGAAACATTCATTGAAATTTTGTCACTCTGAAATCTTTTTGATATTTAGGTTTATTGCTTCATTACAAATTAAACTGGCCTTACCATCGTAAGGTGGCAGTTTCTTTGGGTATGAATCAACTTTCTGTATTATAGAAGAGACCACAGGGGCCATCGAGTCTAACCCCTTGCCATGCAGGAACTCCATCAAAGCACTCCCGACAGATGGCCATCCAGCCTCTGCTTAAAAACCTCCAAAGAAGGAGACTCCACCACACTCTGAGGCAGCCTATTCCACTGCCAATCAGCTCTGACTGTCAGGAAGTTCTTTCTGAGATTCAGGTGGAATCTCTTTTCCTGTAGTTTGAAACCACTGCTCCTTATCCTAGTGTCTGGAGCTGTGGAAAACAAACCTGTCCTTTCCTTGACATGACATCCCTTCAAATAGTTAAACTTGGTTATCATGTCCCCTCTTAACCTTCTTTTTGTAAGGCTAACCATTCCCAGCTCCCTAAGCTGCTTCTCATAGGACATGGCTTCCAGACCTTTGACCATTTTGGTCGCCCTCCTCTGGACATGTTCCAGGTTGTCAACATCTTTCTTGAATTGAGGTGCCCAGAACTGGACACAATATTCCATGTGAGGTCTGACCAAAGCAGAATAGAGTGGTTGTTTTTAATCTCTCTGGCAAACTTGAGTTCATTCTGCACTTTTGCTTTTCTTACCTTCCCCCTACATACGCTGGCTATTTGCTTATATTTCTCTTTGGTGTTTTCCCCATTTTTCCATTTCTTGTACATGTTTTTTTAACTTAGTTCAGTTGAAAGTTCTTTAGTCAACCATTCTTGTTTTTTACACATCTCCCATCTTTCCTTCTTATTGGAACAGTTTTAGATTGTGCTTTTAGTATCTCCCTTTTAAGAAATTCCCATCCCTGAACTTCCTTCTCTTTCAGTATCTTTGTCCATGGAATTACAGCCAGTAATTCCTAAGTTTACTGAAATTGGCCTTCTTAAAGTCTAGAATGCATGTCTGGCTGCACTTGGCTTCCCGCTCCCACTGTACAGCAAATTCCAAGACAGCGTGGTCACTCCCACCTAAGGATCCCACCACTTCAACCCCATTAACAAGGTCATCCCTGTTGGTTATGATCAGATCTAAAATAGCTGATCCCCTTGTTGCCTCTGCCATCTTCTGGACCATGAAATTGTCTGCAAAGTAAGTGAAGAATTTGCTGGACCATATGTTCTCGGCAGTTTGACTGCCAACATATATCGGGATAGTTGAAATCTCCCATTACTACTGGATCTCTCCCTTTTGAATGTGTGGCCATCTGCTCCAGGAAGGCATCATCCAACTCGGGCTGGCTTGGGGGTCTATAGCATGCCCCCACAATGATATTCCTCTTGTTTAGTATGCTTCCATTTCCATAGTGGACATCAATATGTTCCTGTTCTCTCCAAGTTTTCCAGGCGAAAATCACTAGCTCCTCTTGGGGTCCCCGTTTGGATTACGGTGGCCAAATACGAGACCGCGTAGCTGCCCTCTTTCTGCGCAAGATTTTAGGCATCCCAAATACAATTAGCCTTGCAACATTATTAAGTGAACCTGAGCTCCATTTTCCAACTAGCCTTGCCTCTAGTTATCCGCTATTAAATGTTGGCTTCATTTACACTTTCAGAAATCTTCCCAATCCCTTTTGACTGATTTATTAAGTGATCCCTTTATCTCCACATGGTACTCTTTTATTAACTCTTAAATCACTTCCATAGGTATTAACCTGAACTCCCTGTTATGGAGAAACTCAATTTACCATATTATCCACCAAAAAAAAAATCAGGACATTGAACTTCAGACTCTGGCAGCTGATTTGAATTTAATTTGCTCTCCTCATTTTTATCGTTTGCCCCCTTTGTCTGTAACTGGTGCCAATTATTTCATCAGTCTCATTAACCCACTGTGGCACCAGGCATTTATGCTGGCCAGATTTAATATATTTCCCTCAGCTACTCTTTCCAGCAGATATCGTAACATCCTCTTTAAGAACCGCTGGTGTAAGCACTGCTCTGTTATTTCAAATTTCTTTGGCTCCCCCAAGAGCCTAATCTGAATGTTATCAGATAAACAATGTGATTTGACTGAGTGTGTAGCTGAATATCTTGCTATTGTAATAAACTAGGCTGAATGTTTCAAGGAGCCTTGATGTAACTTGAACATACTTATTGCGGTGGAAAATATAATCTTGATTACTGATTTTAATGCCAATAAAGGTTTTTGACTGATAGATTGATTATACTGAAAAGGCATTTGTTTTTGTCCTTGAATTTCATTAATAAAATGATGGAAAAACAAAGTGCAACAACATATTCCATATTTTATTAATGCAAAAATCTTAGTGCACAAGCTTTCTTAGTGCAGAAATCAAGTGAGGGATAGAAGTTGCAGAAGCACTGTGGCTTCAAGGTTTCAAAACTCACTACAAGATCTCTGGGACAAGAACTGAGTGGGAAAGAAGGGACTAGTTAGGAACTTTCACATACCATGATTGATGAAGGCAGCAGGCCCCAGCCACAGCTGGGCACACTGCTTTCGTGTGGAGTACATGATGCTGAAGTCATTTTCACCTGTGCGCAAGAGGCTCTCATCTTCTTCTGTCAGTTCTGCAATGTAGCCCTCCAGGAGTTCCAGCTTATCATTCTTTCGCCTTATTGGCATGAGGAAAAAGTAGTATTTCAGATCAGCACAGTTGCTACTTTGACAGTGATATATATAGTAGGCAAGGGTGACAGATAAATTTATGCCCACTTTACTATATATCAATTGCATGGCATAAATACTGGAAATAGGAACTTCATGGTAATGAGACTGTGGCTGTAAAATGCTCTCCCAAGGAGTTTCCTCTGGCACCTTCTTTGTTATATTTTTGGCACCAGATGGAAACCATTTAATTTTCATGAGCCTTTTTTTAAATTAACACTTTTCAAATATTGTTGCTATTGCAAACTAGAGCATTTATGCTATATTATATATTTATGTTTTGAAATGTACAATCACATTTCAATGCTACTGTTCCTAAACATGCATTTATATAGTTTATAAAATATGGAGATTTAAACATGTATTTATATGTTGCCCAATAACTAAGTTACAAAGAAACTGATTACTGGGCAACACATATATAAAGATTTAAATCTCTTTTTATTTGTGGACAAAGAGAAAGAAAAAGTAAATGGGAAAAAGCTAATTAATTCTACTATGAAATGTTAAAAGGGAATGTTACATCATAAGCTTACCAAGATTTTGTAGAGACCACCCGGGCCCCATTTATTTCCAGGGAATACCGACTACAGCGCTTGATTACAAAACCACTCTCTGGAAGGAAAATACGAAGGTAGCGAAATATCTGAGGAAAAGAAATGAAGAATGGATTCTGTTAGTCCAGGTTTCCAAATTGTCTTCCCAACTGGCTTGCCTGGCTCTCAGCCTAGCCACATCTTCTCTTTTCTAAGAATCAAAGCATCACATTCTATTTTCACTTACCCCCTGCTGGAATTTCCTGCCATCACCTGCTGTGTTTCTATGCTTACTATGCAATAGCATAGCTGAAGCAAATGGACAGAGCAACCCACATGTCCACGGCCAGTCTACTTGATTTCCATGCTGAACAGAAACGTAGTTCTGTTTTCTGCCCATCTGGAAACATCTCAGGTTAGCAGCTGAGATACCACAAGCCCAGCAATCTTCTCTATACCTTATTTGCCACACCGACACCTACACCATGAGCAAAAAGCAGATATTTTTCTGTAGACTAGTATTTTTTAGTTCTTTAGATGGAAAACATTAAGAGCAGAACACTCTCACTTCATGTGCAACCAAGGCAAAAAATGTATTTAACATATACAATACATCTGTCCAACAAATCTATTCAGACTCAGGAACAGGAGGAAAAAAAATTAAGACTTTACAGTTGTTCTTAATTTACATCTGTACCTTTGCAGATTTTAATGGTTTCAGGGTATTTGCTTGATTTTAATGGTGGGGCTGATTTAAGCCAAATGTAGTTTTTTCCCCTAGTGTGTTTATTGTTAGCCACCTTGAGTGCTGTCTTTTAATGCAAAGACAATGAATGTAACAACAACAACAAAGCTCTGACACATATTATTAGTAGAAATTTACATGTAATAGAAACTACTGGTTAAAGAGAAAACATAAGTTAACTGTTTAATTCTTTAACTGCAGTTTACCAATCTTTTGACAATGACCATCTCTCCCACACCTGAATGAAGAAATTACTATTAAAACCTTTCTTCTCCACCCACCATTCCCAGAATAGCAAAAGAGACAGAATTGTACGTGAGTCTTGAAGGCAGCCTCCTGCTGACGGCTCCGGTTTGCGAAGTACTGGCAGGCCCACCCACCCTGCATCAAAGCCTGATATGCTACTTCCAGATCCTTGCGCTTCCGGAAAGCTTCCACTGCCTCCCGTAAATGGTGTTTCCTTCTAATGGCTGGAAGTGGGCTGCAAGAGTGAGAGAAAGAAAGCAAAATTATTCCCCTTTGAAACTTATTGTCCTTATTTTCCTCAGTCTTGATGCTCTTACACCCCAAAATCAATAACCTCTGATACATTTTGCAAGCTAAATCTTCCCAGTTATTGGACCCCAATCCCTCACCTTACGTTCATCTTATGAGTCTTAAAGCCGAGGTAGGAGTCAAGAATTAGTGTGGTGGCTAGGTCATCATTCTCACATAGCTCCTTTGCAGTTACTCGAGTGGAGCCCATCTTCTTTCCAGAACCATGCTGTACTTAGGCTTGCTTACCTACAGGAAAGAAACAGGACAGGGAAATTCATACATATATAGCCAATCACAGTTTGAGTTTAAGCTTCAACCCCTTTTACAAACATGTTATCAATAGAGAACATTATTAGTTTTGTAGATATAAACCACATAAACATAAAACTGTCTTCTTTGAAGTCCACTTCCCTTGTTTCTCTACATAAACACTTAAGTTAACATAGAAAAAATCTAAGCCAATAATGCAACATGCATTCTCAACCACACTGTACAGGGAAATTTTCTACTACTTATCGCAGTCATTATAAATGAAGTACAATGTCAGTAATATATTTACATTTATAACAAATCACTATGCTACTTAAATTATGATGGGCTACTTTAAAAAAGTAATGGTCATTTAAAAATCAATGGATTCTTAGCTGGTGTAGTTTTGGAAGAAGCAGTCATGTTAATCTGTGCAAGCATATCAGGCAAAATCCAAAGAAACAAAACAAAAGAAGACAAAAACATATGGCACTTTAAAGATATTTTAATGTGAAGAACTTTTACACTGCTCCTAGCCAATGCAAATTCTGTCTCACAACATAGGGAATTTCAAACTGATCTTGTTGGGCATAGTCCATAAGTAATATATTGAATTACTAATGAGTCTCATTTTATATATGCTATCAACCTATCTTTTCCCCAAACTCACATGTAAAGGGCTCAACAAGTATGGAGGGGGCAGGGAAAAGGGTAGAATTTCCTGTATTTGGATTTGGAAAAGACAGACAGCACTGAGACTGACGTTATTTCTATTTCCTTTAAACTACAGCACAAGGAATAAGCTCACTATTGGCAAGATTTTGGGATACTTCTTCCCCAAGACAGACACACTTATTAATTACAGTAAACAGAAGCAGAGGTGCAAAAGTACATTCACAGGGAATAATATCAGGTTTTGCTTTTTTCAGGCAAATAAATTAAATAGTATAGAACCTCCAAGTGGAAATACAATGTTTCTGTTTTCAGACACCTAGGATTTTTTTCAGCCATTAAACAGTCACTGATGCCTCCAAAGGGGACATGCTTTTTCTGATGCCACTGTTTATGAGCTTCTAATTCACCCTCTTCTTTTCCTAGTTGCATGTCAAGGCCTCTGGACCATGACTAAGAAATGACCTGAGGTTATTTAATTGACAGTCCTCTACATGTTGTTTCAGACAACAGCCATGACCTACATTTAGAAACAGACTATAATCACCTCATTGCTTTGCTGATGGATACAACTCTGTGAAGATCAGTGATGAGCAAATATTACCCAAACCTACAATACATCTCAAGGCAAGAAAGTGGGATTCTCTTTGGTCTGAGTTCTACATTTGCCAGATTATTTGTCCTCCTAATTTTTAGGTGACCATATGAAGAATGCTACTTCCAAATTAACACCTGGCTTATTCCAAACCACAACTTCATGATCAGTCAAGAACCTGTGTCCAAGTTGTGTCACTGGCAGAGGTGCTATTTCTTCTGTTATGTTCAAAGCATCATCTGAGGAGAAAACTGCTGGAGAAACACTGCCTATTGTAACATGACACTCCCAGAATTCTCACCTTGTTCCTGATTTTGCTGGTACTATTTTGTTTGTTTGTTTGTTTTATAGGCCACCTTTCTTAAGGGGACCCAAGGGGACTCACAATATTTGAAGAATAGAATTAAAAACATAATTAAGTTAAATAGTAAAAAAATAATTAAAGTACACACTAATTAAAATACAATTGAATAATTAAAAGCAGGTAAACATTAAAAACTATCCTAACAATGGCACTCAGGGACTCAATCATGATTGTTAAAAACCTATCTGAAAAGACGGATCTTCAGCTGTTGGCGGAAGAATGAAACAGACGGGACCAATCTGATCTCCCAAGGGAGAGCATTCCATAACCCCTTTGTGTCACCAACAACTGTTCCTGCACTGGCAATGAGACCAAGAGGAGGGCCATCTCTGATTATCTTAAATGCTAAGAACACCCATATAGAGAGATATGATCCTTCAGGTAGCCTGGACCCAAGCTGTATAGGGGTTTACAATTAATGACCAGCACTTTGACCTGCAAACAGACTAGTGGTTGTAGCAAGGTTGTTATATGCTCCCTATAACTGGCCCAAACCATTACAACAATCCAGACAGGATGTAAGTAAAGCATAAGTTGCTGTAGCCAAATTGGGCATCTCATGGAACAGGCACAGCTTATGCACCAGTTTCAACTGTGCAAAAGCACTCCTCGCCACCATCTAAACCTGGGCATCCAGGTTCAGGGATGAATCCAGTACACCCAACCTGCACACTTGAGTTTTCAGGGAAAGTGGAACCTCATCCAGTACAGGTTGTATTTCTATTCCCTCATCTGCCTTCTGATTGACCAGGAGCCTCTGTCTCAAGTTTCAGTTTGTCTGCCTTCATCCAGTCCATTACTGATATCAGATACTGGTTCAGAACGATGGCAGCTTCCTTACTAAACCTCAATCCCCAGTAAAGGCTGCCAATAAACCCAAGAGCTCACTAGAGGTTACCACCTCCCAAGTTAACAATATAAACTTGGAATCAGGATGCAGCACTAATATTACCTTAGAAATCACCTAATCATGCTACTCTTCACACCTCATGCTACTCTTCACATTTATTGCTTGAAATGTGGATGGAAAAATTATAACAGACAAAGAAAAGGCAGTTGTTCTCAATTCATATTTTAGCCTAGTCTTTTCCCTAAAGACAATCTACCACACTGCAGAGAAACATGAAGTAGAAATTGAAGGGACAGGATTGCAGCTTGAGATTAAAAAAAGAAAACAGCCAAATAGTTATTACTTTGAATGAATTCAAATCTTCAGGGCCCAATGGAATGCATCCAATAGTATTGGCTGAAGACCTGTCAGAATCACTGTGTATTATTTTTATACTTATCATGGAGGATGAGTGGAGTGCCAGAGTGAAGTGCCAGAAGAGTCCCTATCTTCAAAAAGGGGGAACTGGGAACTACAGACTAGTAATGGCCTGACATCAATAGATTATAAGGTAGTCACTCCTTGAAAACAATGCAATAATAAGTAGAAGCCAACACAGATTTGTTTTTTAAAAACTGCCGTACTTTGATGATTCCTGCTTTCCTCCTCCTTACTTCCGTGTATAAGACAACCCTCAATTTTTGATCTAAATATTTTAGACAAAAGTATAATCTTATACAAGGAAAATACGGTAAATTTCTTAAGACTTTGTTGGAGGCAGTTTCCCAACCCAGGACAGCAGTATCCTCTCAACTAATTCAGCTGCTGGAAGTCTATAAAAGAGTAAAAACATTTTTCTGCAGAGGTGGTCATGTTAGTCTGCTGCAGTAAAAACAATACAGAAGAATCTAAAATACAGTCTTGTGTTTGAAGAAGTGGGGCTGAAGTTAGTCTTAAAGATAGTACAGTACAGGGCTCTTTGTTGTCCATACAATAGCAAGATTAATGATATGCCTTTATATGAATGAGTACAAAAACAGAAAAAGACTATGCTTACTCCCTCTTACCCAGCATACCATTTTCTGGTTTGTTCTTTGGAACTGTGTTCATACAATGACACCTAGTCCGCAACTACACTGGCAAGCTGAAATGAAGGAATTCAGGTGTGCTACAGCTTGATTCACAGCCTATTTTATGCCTCTGTTTGGATTAAGTGATCACTTGGAGACTGTGCATTGTTTTGGTGTCAGTTCACACTGGACCCTCAATTTGATGTGATTTGATCCATGGCACAGCTCACAGCCCCTTTCCTTTGATCCTGTCCTCTGCCAAGTACCTGTTTCTCCTTTTATGGTTCATTGTAAAACCAGTGGACTGTCTAAAGTCTTGTACCGTGCTAGGGAAAAGGAAGAGTTTTCCAAGTTCTCCTTAATACACACACACCATGGAAACACAGTAGTTTGCTGTAGTTCATCAGAGTTGTTTCTATTTCATATTGATTTTTATCTTTTTGGTCCATGCAGAGGTGATCAATTGCTAAACTTGTACATCAATGTAGTGATAAGCTGATCTAGTGCTAAACTTAGTAGTTTGTTTATAAAAATAAATAAATACCTTGGTGCAACTAGAGAGAGACTGTGGGTGTAGGTGTTTCCAACTGATCACAAAGGGATCTATTCAAATCATTCTAGCTTGAAAAAAAATAGAAGCTGTTTGTGTTGGGGGCAAAACAGACTAGGCTGATTCAAATTGGCCTTCGCATCATGTAATCAGGTTTTTTAAAAGCAAATTCATCTATTTTACACCCACAGCAAATCCCACAGTATTTGACAATGTCAGCACAGCCTCTGACGCTTGTCTTCGAAGTTCCTAGTAACTATTTTATTTATGAGATGAGCAAGGCATACTAATATACTAATTAATATACCTTGTAACAAGTCAAGTTTGATGTATTTCTGATTTGAGAAGCCTAGGTTCAAATCCCAGCTCTAATACAGAATTGAATTTGGTGAGGCTGGATAAATTACAATTACTCCACCCTAGCCTATTTTATAAGATGTTGTAAGAGGGGGGAGGTGATGTAATTTCACTTACATCCTTTGAACTTCTTTGAGCAAGGGCGGTGTGCCTCAGACATAGTAAGGACTGTGTACATTGCAAAAGTCTCTAGAAATAAATAACAAAGACTTTAGATATAACAAGATGCCCTATGTATTTATGTCTTTCAAATAGCCCCTCTGCAATCGAATGAAGCAGAACAAATACTTGATGTACTTCAGGTACCCTCCCCAATACAAGGAGGAAATCACAATGTTCTTTTCTCTGAAGATGCCAGCCACAGAGACTGGCGAAACGTTAGGAAGAACCACTTTCAGAACACAGCCAAGAAGCCCTAAAAACCCACAACAACCATTTTCTCACATTTTTCTCATTCTTTCTGGAGCAATACTGAGAACCAAAAGAGATATGATTTCCTAATACAAGTGCTGACGGCACATGTTACTGACCGCACAAAGCACTTAACATCCAGATAGCCTCACTCCATCTAAAGAGCTAGTACAACAACACTTTGTCCACTAAGGCGGTTCATCACTGACATAACAACTCTAACACCATACATTGGTATGGTAGAGTTACAGAGGCAAATGCTTCATCTGTCCCACTACCATGTATTTTGGCCCTAAGAAAACAACAGGGCTGAAGACAGGAAACTGCCAATGTACTCCAAGCACCAGATGCCCCTCACAGTGGCATGCAGGGGGTTTCCCAGCGACCTACAATTCAAGATTCTTTGAAATCAAGGTTTTGGGGATTAAATGGGTTAACTTCTACATACAAATCACGTGCTTTACCTCAGAGGCCTGGTAGGTAGACATGTGGGGGAAGGGCACCGAGAAGCCTGTTTAGGGATGCTGGAGGCTGACTGGAGAAATAGAAATTTATTCACACTATTTCATGAAAGAAAGAAGGAAAAGGAGGAGGGCCGATATCTTACAAGGGGGGCGCCTTCTTGAGATCAGTGCTGAGGATGAAAACGGGTAGGGTTAAAAGAAAAAAAAAAGGCGCTCTTTTTCAGGGTGCTTTTTTTGGTGTCATGAAAATAGGTTTACAATGAAAGAAGGAACCTGGGAAGAAAGGGGAGTGCTCGGTCTTTAGAAAGGCTACTTTGGTGGTGCGATTTGGGGGTGAGGGAGAGAGAAATGTGCCGGTCCCTCACAATTTCAAGGAAGGAAATATGAGGAAAGAAACAGGGGTTTCCTTTAGGGCTGCGCCTAGGGGCCAAAAAAAAGAAAAAGAAAGAAAGGATAGAATAAAAGACTGGCCGACGAGATAATGCATCTTAGTTTCCGTCCGTCTCTGCGCTCGCCCTGCGCTCTCTCGCCGAGGAAAGCGACCTCTCCACATCTCGGGCCAGCTTTCCCTCAGCCCTCGCTTCCTTGCCCTTCACTGACTGACAAGGCAGCCCCCGTCCCCTTCCCTTCCTCTCACCTCGCAGAACCTCACGCGCATCCCTCCCCTCCCGTCTGCCCTCCTGCCGCCG